ACAAAAAAGTTAAATACCGTTCTGGTTTTAAATAAATATTGGGGTTGCAAAAGTGTAGATCCTAAATACAGTACATATAGTATATCACAGAGAACTGCACTGTTTATATAAAATTAAACAATATTCAAACGCCAGTGTTGCTTGCGTAGTTGTATTTACAATGTCAACAAAATATTAATTAGATTCTACTTTTCATGCCCATCGTTTCTTCAAAGCTTAATTTAAGCCAGTTCAAAAATGTTGCAACAAACAGTCCAGTAGCAACGCCGTTTGGTTTGTTTGGGGTGAACATGTTCGCTATAGAAAAAGATTAATATGAATAATAAACCACTGCATAATAAACTGTAGCGGCCAAAAATATATGGGCCTGGTTTTATTAGTAGCGTAAGACCCGACTTTGTGAAATCAGTTTATAACTTCGTAAGCGAAAGCTAGTTAAGTTTACTTGATATGGCAAATGGATATTTAATAAAACGATAAAGATAGGCAATATGACAAGATATCGAATATGTTATTTTGAATTACCTTTCCGCTTTCATTCAGTCAACCAATACAACATAACTATGCAAGCATTCACCTTATGCATTCACATCACTTCTAAGATCTTTCGATATTCAACACTCGAATTCTCGAATACCGCGTAGCGACCTTTGATAGAGAGTCAGGATGGGTTTATTTTTTTCTCTACAGTTCATAGTATATTTCTGAATATAGTATTTAGCGTTTGAATAATTGCGCGTCTGTGCGTGATTTGACAACAATCAATCACTGAAAGCGTTTAACCGTGTTGTGAGCCAATCAAATCACTGCGTGTATTGGCTTCGCCAAGAATCAAATTTCGTGAAAACCGTTGGACTTTGAATCTTGTATATTTTCATTGTGCGCCTCATGATTTGGAAGCTTTGAAAGATCTATAAACGTTGTAAAAGGAACTTAAATTAATACAAATATGAGAGGATATCAAATATAAAATGTTTTGTACGCCAGGTTTTCTACAAAACCGCATAACAGGCCGAGGGTTTGGTGTTTCAAGTATTTGTCCCTACATTCCTGTTTGTCGAAATCAACTGGAACAATATACGGTATGTCGTTTTAACATCATTTTTTGCATTATTTATACCATTATGTGTATCCACATAGCATTCTTATCCATGCCTATATAACATAGAGAATAATCTCATGGATGCGCGGAAATACCAGATTTGTTTCGACTGTTGAATATGATATCTCAAGAGTGAGCGCAGCGAACGAGAAGCCTGTATTTGACTAAAAACGGCGGCTTCAAAAGAACAGTAGCCTAATAATAATTATATAACTACACGATTACAGATTTGGTATGCGACTTTGGTGGCAGCGACCACTTTATTTAGCAACAAATGAATAAACCGCGCGATACCAATCATTCGTTTTTACAATAAAAGCATGACTTGACTCCACAACAATTATCACCATAAAAAACTGATGCTATAATACAGTATATAGCGCAGTCACGTTTGATCAAATGTGAAGTCTACACATGGATCCTATTGCCGCTTGATAAAGATATATATTTTAGTTATTTGCATATATTTTATCAAAGTATATTTTATTAAGGTCTATTTTATTGAGGTATTAAGGCATAATATTTCTAAACATTGGCTTAAAAAATCAGGCGAGGAATACTCTATAACCTCACTATATATTCAGTTTATAATTAGTTTAAGTTAGTTTTTTATTAGCACACCATTCTGTGAACATAAAACCAGTCCTATGATATAAACATACTGTATATACCTAATGAATGAGTTACGAGTCTAAGCAGCATGCAGGTGTAGGTAAAGTATGAAGTAGTCTAAAAAAGCAATCTAAGGTAGACTTCAAAGATCTGGTTTCTTGCACTTCACTTGGTGGTATTAATATTTGAATGGTGTTCTTAGGGTTTCTAATCCAAGTTAGTATATATTTATACATTTTAAGACTTGACCAGGAACGACTGCGAAAAATGCAGCACAAGGTCCTCTGGTATAGGAATTGAGCTGTAACCATAAGTTCATGTATATATAGGTGATCGAGTGTGCGGATTGAGATAAGGTGGACTTACCAACTCTTACCGATTATGTCTGAACGGTTAAAGAACTTTTTTACCATTAAATATAGTTAACATTTTATTAATACATTTTTATAATAGGTAGTTAATAATAAGTATATAACATTGTTAACGTAAATTTTAATATTTAATATTGTAAATGTTTTTTCCATGCAATTCAGCTTTAGCTGCAAAATGGATTTTATTAAACTAATAATAATAATAATAATACTTCAATGATCTGGTTTCTTGCACTTCACTTGGTGGTATTAATATTTGAATGCTGTTCTTAGGGTTTGTAATCCAAATGAGTATATTTATATACATTTTCAGACCTGAGCAGGAACGACTGCGAAAAATGCAGCACGTACAATATCCACTGGTAGGAATTGAACCCACGGCCGTGGGTCATTGAAGTCCACCTTATCTCAACCCGCACACCCGATCACCTATATATGCATGAACTTATGGTTACAGCTCAACAGCTGGCCTCTGTAGCTCAGTTGGTTAGAGCGCTGCACCCAAATCGCAGGGCCGTGGGTTCAATTCCTACTAAAGGAGCTTAATTGTGCTGCATTTTTCGCAGTCGTTCCTGGTCTGGTCTTAAAATGTATATATATACTCACTTGGATTACAAACTCTAAGAACAGCATTCAAATATTAATAACACCAAGTGAAGTGCAAGAAACCAGATCATTGAAGTCCACCTTATCTCAACCCGCACACCCGATCACCTATATATAATGTACATGAACTTACGGTTACAGCTCAACAACTGGCCTCTGTAGCTCAGTTGGTTAGAATGCTGCACCGGAATCGCAGGGCCGTGGGTTCAATTCCTACCAGACGACCTTGTGCTGCATTTTTCGCAGTCGTTCCTGGTCAGGTCTTAAAATGTATATATATACTCACTTGGATTACAAACCCTAAGAACAGCATTCAAATCTAAGGTAGTATTGTCTAAGGCAATCTAAGGTAGTATTGTTGAAGAAAGTAATCTAATGTTAGCTTAAGGTAATCTAAGGTGCCTAATAACAGTTATCAAAATTATCCACTGTGATCAAAGGTTAAGACAGAGGTAATCTAAGGTAAATTTTATACATTTTCAGACCTTACTTAGGCAGGAGTTAACTATTAGTTACAACGCTGCACCTGAATTGCAAGGCCGCAAACTGAGCTACATTGCCAAGTCCCTCAGCATTAGCTGCAATTCGTGCATATTAACAATACATTAAGGATTTTGGGCATCTCACTTGACAAAGGTTTTTGTCCACATTTAATGAGTGGAGCTTCCAACAGAAATATTGTTAAATAATAATAATAATAATAGATGGAAATTTGGAACATATTTATAAACGTTTAGACTTTTTAGAGACATGTTATAAAAAATACAACTATTGACCCTTTGATACAGTGACGAAGCCAGCCCGAATTCATTACCAAATTGCTGGGAATCTGAACAGCTTTGACAGGAATCAATTAACCTGCATCAATCCGGTGCAGTGCTTTTAAGCTACAGAGATCAGTTGCCAAGCATTAACTGCATGCTCATGTATCTCTGAGTCCAGATGCATTGTGGCTCACAGTATTATTAGCCAGACTCATTTCATTGTTCAAGTTCATGGACTCTGTAGTTCAATTGGTTAGTGTGCTGTACCTGACAGAATTCCCGCCAGAGGCCAACAGAGGCATGCTGTGCAGCCGCTGAAGGTTATAATTAGGCCTGATTCCTGAACATGTATAAATATTTACCCATAAAAGTCCATATATCCATGCATTGCCTTAGTACAGACAGACTTGCGGTCAATATACTGTATATGACCCCCTCCCCAATATGTGTGGCAGGGTGCTATGGATATTTTTAGAATATATGGGGCAGGGGATTGTAGACATTTTTAGAACTTTTAGTTGTCTGAAGATTGCCAATGGGCATGAAACTTGAGTAACAACCTACTGTCAGTATTAAAACGAGGGCTGGCTATGCAGGCTAATTTTGTATTTGAATACCGTCTGAAAATACAGAGGTTTTAGAATTTTGATGTAATGACACCCTTCCCCAATATGTGGGCAGGGGGGTTATGGATATTTTCCGGAAAGTTCTACGCAATACTCAAAAACTCGACTCTATTTGAAAATTGGACGGAGTGCTGCACCAGAATTGCGGGGCAATATGTTTGATTCTTGTCAGCAACAGTTGCATTTTTCGCTGCTGCTTTGCAGTAGGTTACCGTAGTTTAACAACTAGTACTATATAAGATATAACATACTATATCATAAAATTCCTATACAAAATTTGCATTCAAAATAACTTTTAACTAGACAACTTAATCTCCTTTTTCTTGCAATTATTGTGCGCAGGGGCGTAGCTAAGGGGGGGTGCGGGGGGGTTCCGCACCCCCCAATGCCGTGTCCGTCGGCACAATAAACCAGTTGTCGGCAAAATGAATTGGATCAAGCCAATAGGCAATACCTGGTTGAGTGGCTGGAGAGAGGTTGTAATTTGTAGAAAATGCGACTTATGCGAGATCGAAAAGATGGATATGTCGACTGAAAGCTCGGCCCTTTTCCGAACATTTAGCCAAATTGGCCAAGAACTCCGACCGCCGTTCGTATCATACGCTCTTACGCTAATATGCTATTAGTATTATATTTTCTTGCAATTTTGTGAAATATGATACCATAAGCAATTCGAAGCACGTGTGCGTGTTGATTGTTGATGCGTCTGCGCTTCATTTCGTAATCTTGTGAAGCCAATAAAGCCTAGAAATTAGACCTTGAACGATGAGAAATACAAAGAAGATTTAAAAGTATGGACAGTAGCAAACAAAAACGCAAACGGAAGAGAGAGAAATTGACGTGTTTAGTTTGTAATCGGTCGTTTGATGACGATTATCGACATGAACATAACAAGAAATACCACAATGACTTGTTAAAGACAGGGAAATCAATCTCCTATAAAGTGGCCGGTGCTCCAGCAAACCCATTCATCCTAGCAGCACAGATACATAGTCAAAAGGTAAGGCTAGATAAAAAATTTTAACTCTAGCCAAAAAATACGAATAATAAATACGAATCAATTTATGCCGGCGGAAATGAAAATTTGATACATTCAACCAACACCGCGCGTTTTGTATTTGCGAATAAAATTACATACTTACTTGTTTGTTCAAAAGCTAGCAACTACTCAAATTTATAGTTGGCTAAATAAATAGTTGGCTTAGCCAACTATAAATTGCAAATGAAGTTAGTCAATATGCGGATTGTTCTATAAAAACGGCAATTTTTTTCATATTACACTTTTTAAAGGTAAAAGGGGTTAAGGGTTCTTTGCCATATTATACTTTTTACACTGACGAATTTCAGGTATCCCAGACAAAAAAGGATTCTCAAAGTGTTTCCATTTTGGAGACCTCATCTAGTTCTGGAAATGTTGAAAACAAGACTGGCGAGAACGACCCTCAACCTGACAAAGTTCAAAATTTGCCCCCTCCTGACACAGTAGAATTTGAATTTATGTCTTCCACGGTAAGTCTTCAAAATTGATCTTTTTTCAAATTTGTTATGACTGATTTTTAGAATGTTTTGAATTTTCAATCATTATATTTATAAATAGACACCAGGAAGCGAAAGCAATGAATCACACGAGGCCCAAGAAGTCGAAAGCGACACCCTTGAAAATGAGACTGAAGAAACTGAAGAAAACCAGGACGATAAAAACATGACTTGGTTTCAATGCGCAGGGCTGTTGCAATATCTAAAGTCCCAGCTTCGTAATGTTGAAGGAATTATAGATGAAGTTGAGACGGCAGATAATGCTAATCAAGAATATTTTCTAAATAAGGTAATCGAAACAGTTGGTCAGGTTGAAGAAACTGCAAGCCAGCTTCTCAGAATATCATTTCAATTCCTGGAAAAGGTTGAAAAAGAGAACATGACACTGGACGATAGCAATCAGAAAGCATTCCCTACCATGCCATCTTTGGATCCTGGATTGCGATCAAAACATCTGACGGACAGTCAAAAAACATACCTGATACAAATCGGACCGAATCAACCAAATTTACAGGTATACCCAAGTAATTCCAGCATTGCCAAAGAAGGTCACAAGCAGTCGAGATTTAATCCATCCTGGTTCAAAGAGTACCCTCACCTTGAATATAGTTTATCGAAAGACGCTGCTTTCTGTTTTGTTTGTTCCTTGTTTGGAAGTGGTCCAGGAATGGAGAAAGCAGAAAATGTTTGGAGTACAGAAGGTGTGTGTACATGGCATAAATTCAAGAGCTGTGGAAAAGCAAAGCGTGGCAAGTTGGCAACACATTTCTCATCTGCGAGTCACAAAAGTGCAATGTTTGCATATGCAAACTTCGTGAAAACCTGTGGTCACGTCGATGTCTTGCTTTCTAAGACCAAACGCCATGCTCTCATCCAGGAGGAGGAAGATCTTGTCCGCAATAGAAAGGTCGTCGAGATATTGTTGGACATAACAAAAACACTCGGACGCCAAGGTATCGCGTTTAGAGGCCATGGAGACGACAAAGAAGGAAATTTCCATCAGATTGTGATGTTGATGGCCAGGTATTGTCCCGACCTAAAGTTCTGGTTCAGCACAACCCGGATGCGACCATACCGTGTCACCTATCTTAGCCCACAGTCCCAAAACGAGTTCATTGAACTGATTGGTCGCCAAGTACAAAAGCGGGTTACAAAAGAAATTAAAGAAGCTGGGATGTACTCAGTTATGGCTGATACAACGCCTGATGTATCGCACAAAGATCGCCTCGCGGTTGCTTGTAGGTACGTAGATGCAAATGGTCAGCCAAGGGAGCGATTGATGTCATTGACCGAAGCTAAAGACAAGACAGGAGAAGGAGGAGCTGATGAAATAATCGAGGCGCTAAATAAGCACGAAATGAATTTAAACGAACTGTGTTTTCAAAGTTACGACTACACAGCTTCCATGTCCGGACGCTTCAACGGAGTCCAGAAGAAGATCCAGGATAAACTCGGAAGAAGAATTCCTTACATGCCATGCTTAGCGCACCGTTCAAACACAGTAATCGAGCACAGTTGCGAAGCAAGCGCCGTCATAAAGGAGCTGTTCAATGTCCTTGAGGAACTGTACGTATTTTTTACGAGCAGTACAAAACGTGTATCGTGTCTTCAAGAGTCTATCATTGGTGCGGCCGTAGACAACCCGTTGCAGCTACGAAACCTATCCAAAACACGGTGGGTAGTTCGAGCCGAGTCTATCAAGGCAGTGTGGTCTACTTACGAAGCGATTTTGGAATCTTTGGCCATTCTGCAAGAGCGCTCGAAGGATATCAAGACAAAAACAGCCGCCTCTGGTTTGTTGACAAAAATCACCAGATTTGATTTCATCATGTGTATAATGTTTATGAAAAACATTATGTACAAGACCAAAAGAATGACGGAGGTCCTTCAAAAGGAAGATCTTAACATTATCGACGCGATTACCATTATGGAGTCAACAATAAAGAGCTTGGAATACGTGAACAATGACATTGATGCTATGAATGCAGAAATCCAAGCAGCAGTTATATTTGCTGAGCACCTTGGTGTTGATGCTCAGACTGATTTCCAACGTCATCATCGCCACAGAAAACCACCTGCCAGAATCGATGAAAATCCATCAAATGCTGTGTCGTTTAACTTGGAGTCCTTTTACCGGAAAGAATTCAAAGCAGTGTTGGACACTCAGATCAGCACTTATAAAGAGGTCAATAACAATTCCAAAGAAACAACAAAACCCCTGATTGACACCCTGCATCCTGGGAAAGACGTGGCACCATTGGAATCGTTCAAGGACTTGACGGAGTATTTCCCACGAGACCAAAGACCAGACCCGGAAGCTCTGATGTCCGAGATGGAGGTATTCAGGTCTCACTTGACCGACCACTACCATACCAACGTTCAAGATATTTCAGATGCGGCCAGAATAGCAGAAAAACAGAAGTCAGTGTTTCCTTTGGTCAACAAGGCTTACCGCCTAGCTCTTACTGCACCAGTGACAGTAGCTAAGGATGAAAGAACATTTAGCAAGCTAAAACTTGTCAAAACACTCTGCAGATCAACAATGAATGACGAACGATTGGAGGAGTTATTAATAATGGCTTGTGAAAAAGATATCACTGATGAAATCAGCGTTGTTAAAATGGCTACAGCTTGGGCAGCGTTAAAACGACGACGAGTCCAGATATCCATAGTACCATAAACGTTTCGCCTATATATGTAGAGATGTTCTTTTTTGACATTTATACAATTATATCATATGTTTTAAGAAACTATTTCGCCTATTTTAAAAATAAATTATCTTACTACTCGGAGTTGATTGTTGTACATCACTTAAAAAAACACGGTTTGTTTTGACCACGCCCTAACCACGCGCTAGCCACGCCCTTTTGTCGGCAAAATGTTGTCTTGCACCCCCCCAAAAGGATAGCCTTCGCTCCGCCCCTGATTGTGCGGTGAAGTTTAGAAAACATGTGTATGACGGCAATTGCAAATTGAAATATCAAGCATGTGGGCAATTTTAACATGTAAATTAATATTTAAGCTCTGAACTGACAGACGTTTTAGCAAATTGGGACAGATATACTGTAGAGTAACAGCAAACCGAGTACAGATGAAGACAAAAAAATGTTATTGTTTCTTGCAGAAAATTTATAAATGATCATATGAACTGCGAAAGCTTTTAATGTGGTAGTTTCACACAACCATGCAACTTTGGTTTTTGCTGTTTGTGATGTGGTATCCTGCATGCAAGTTGACTATTAATTAAACTACATTTTCTAATTTGTATAATTCGATATAGGCTATTCCATTTGTTCCATAGATAGGACTATTCCATATACAGTAACATGTACCGGTGGTAACCCCCCTATTGAGTTCATGGGTTTTACTATATGTACCCCTGAAAAATTCCTACTGTAACAAAGTATGTCCCATGAGCGTTTCCTGTTAATAGCAGTTACCACTTATAATAAATAATTCAGCATTTACCTAAAAATTTCAATTTTTGCCTTTGACCCCTGATGAAATCTCATTCAAAATACCCAACCCCTGAAGAATTCCATAGCCAGGATAATTTGTTTACTTCTGAGAAATTCCAGGGCCAAAAAGCAACTTACCCGAGATTAATTCCAAGTTCCTCAATTGGGGGGGGGGGGGCTACAAATATTAAATGGAATAGCCCATTAAAGATAAAGAGCAGAGCCCAGCAAATAACTTTAAAACCAAACATAACAAAAGTAAAAATTTATTAGCTAACGTTTCATTGTAATTAATACAATACAACATCTTCAGAGCAATCTAAATGAATTTACAGGGTATGGTATATATATTTACAAAATAATGGTTTAATATTACAAAAACAGTTACATAGTTTGAAAGAACAAATGAATAGAAAGAAAGGAAAACAACTACCCTTACGAAAATTTCCTATAGGAATTCCTGTAGGAAAAATTCCTATAAGAATTTGGGACAAAATTCCTACAGGAATTTTTCCTATAGGAATTCCTATAGGAAAAATTCCTATAGGAAAAATTCCTATAGGAATTTTGTCCCAAATTCTTATAGGAATTTTTCCTATAGGAATTCCTATAGGAAAAATTCCTATAGGAATTTTTTCTACAGGAATACCTATAAGAATTTAATAGGAAGAATTCCTATAAGAATTCTCAAGTCTAGTCCCAAATTATTATAGGAATTTAATATAATAATTTATTCTAATTTTCTATAAGATTTTTGGTATTCCTGCAGAAATTCTAGAATCTAGATAAAATAATAGTAAATGACAGACAATGTTGTTCATCACTCTTAATTTTTTAATGCAAAAAATAGATATAAATATTAATAAATACTAATTAATATTGCAAATATAAAAATTAATATGAGAAATTGGTTATACTAAACATTACAAATCAATTATAGTTTTCACCTATTGTGCCAAATTAATCGTTCTACCTCAATGCAATGCCATATGATGCGTCCTACTTTATTATTTTACTCTGTCTAACTATTTTACTTTGTCTAATGCCAGACTATTTTACTCTGTCTAACTCCAGACAATTGTACTTGAATGTCAAGGGGAAATGCTGGCTCCGAATGGGTTAACTAGCCTGTATTCCTATATATGTGTCTAGTTAACCAATTGAATCACATTGCGCCCTGATGCGCCTTACTTTATTATTTTACTATAGTTTACTCTGTCTAACGCCAGACGATTTTACTCATCAGAGCGCTGGCACTTAATGGGCTAAACCATAGGTAATAACCATTATTGACATTTAAAGTTAAGTTTAAAACTGGCCTCAAAACATAGTCCTAAAATAAGTTCTTGTTCTTGTTTGCTTTTCTGTACTTTGCAACACTTTCCCATGTTGTTTATATTTGTCCTCATATGTTGACGAACCTCTGAGAGATCTTACATCCATACTTTGTTGATAGCTGTAAAAAGACAAATACATTTATTTTATGTATACCATTCCAATGTGTTTTGTTAGCCCATTAAATATGCCCAAATGCACCCAATTTATTATTTTACTCTAAGTGGAGAGTCTAGCACTTTAATAGAATAAACACAGTAAAATAACAAAGTACTAAAAGTAGGGCACATTGCTTCTAAATATGCCACACAGCAGCTTTTGCAGTTAATTATTAACCTTTCAATGACCAACATTAATTTTGATTAGTAAAATCATCTGATAAATATCAAAGTACTGAAAGTGGGGATTGAGTGTTAAGCCTAGTTTCCATTTGGTTGTTATAGTTGTCGCTGGCACAACAAGTGGCTGATGTAATAGAGTGTCAACAAAAAACTCTGCAATCATTAAGACTGATTTGCATATCACACAAACAGACTATTATTATATTAGACTATTTCACATCTACCGCTTGTCGTGCCAGCGACAACTAACGACCAAATGGAAACTAGGCTTTAGGGTGAATGTGCTAACGCCAAATAATGCAAAATAGTCTGGTATTAACAGGGCAAAATATTGAGCTTTGAAATAGAGCACATTAGTGTGAATTTGTGAATTGGGTCTTAATGAGTTTACACAAAACACAGGGAGACAGCAAGGTAACCTATCAAAGTTGTCCACTCTCTTTCAAGTAAAATGACTGGTGTTAGACAAGGTAAAATAAAAAGGTGCTGAAAGTTGAGCACATTCATCTTAACAAGTTAGCATGAAATGTAAGCTAGCAGAGAGCCTGGTTAATATGAATACCATCACATAGAGACTGCAGTAAATTCTGATTTAGAGAACCTTAGAAAATGGTTAATAGCCAATAAACTTAGCCTCAACGTAGCTAAGACAGAGTTTATGTTGATTGGCTCTAAACCTATGATCAAAAATATTTCTGATTCTTGCCCAAATGTTTACATTGAAAATATACAAATTAAACAAGTTCATGAATGCAAAACTCTAGGAGTAACAATTGACCAGCATTTATCTTGGAAAAGTAATACCGAAAATATTTGCAAGAAAGTTACAGCAGGAATCTCTGCTATTCGTCGGATCAAACCATTTGTTGATCAAGATACACTTATTTTGATATATAACACTATTGTTCGTCCGTACTTTGACTACTGCTGTGAAGTATGGGATGTATTTGGCGAAACTCAATCAAAACGACTGCAAAAACTGCAAAATAGGGCGGCAAGAATTATTCTGAATATAAGCAATGACGTAGATTATACGATTGCGTTACGTACTTTGGGCTGGGAGCCACTCCAAACTGAAAGGAAGAAAACTAAAGCAAGAATGATGTATAAGTTATTAAACAAAATGGGCCCAAAATCACTCACAAATCTATTTTCGTTTAAGAGTGAGAAAACTAATTACCACCTTCGCGATGTCTCAAGTGGTCTTTATTTACCAAAACCACGTACAAATAGCATGAAAAATAGTTTTATGTACGACGGAGCAAACATTTGGAATTCTATACCAAAAGAAATTAGGGAAAGCAAGTCACTTTCTTCCTTTCGAAATAAAATCGCTGCTCACATTAGTGCTTGGTAACCTTTGTAAATATAACTTACCTGTAAATAGCTCAAAACATTTGTTATATCTTTTAAATTTATATATTACTGTAATAGCTTAGCTTATCCTTATCATATTCTGCATGTAAAATAATTTTCTGGCACACGCCCGCCGTGGAAATCAGCTATACGGTTGACGGGGTCAGCGTGGATAAATAAAGTTCTACTACTACTACTATAGTTATGTTTAATTAATAGAAAACATGGATAATTTTCCTGGCATTACACTAAAGCATGTCTATAAAGGCTAACAGATTTTAATACATTGACTGGTGCAAGACCTCTCAAAATGAAAATTGTTTAATTTAAACAAAACATATGAATAAATACTGCTGCTGATTTGGGCAAGTAGTTAAATTTTCTATAAGCATGCATTAAATATGGCTGACAATTTACAATATTTAATCTGGCATATACAGTTGGCACTTGGGATATACAAATATATTAATAAACAT